ACCTGCACTTAGGAAGGAAGCGGCTTGATACACTGTGCGGCCACAGGGTGTGTGTCTGTTCTGCTTTCCCCCGCTGGGTCTCTTCCCAAACCCCCACTCGGTGAGACAGCCCTACCTGGTGAGGTGAGATGCAGGTTGGGATGGTGGCTGCTCCCTGCCCTTTGTCACCCCTCCTGCCCCTCCTGCCTGCTTCGCCACTTCAAAGGAACACACTTCCACACGGGTTTCAAACTATTCCTGTATCAGGAACAACATATTTCTAAGCTTCTACATGCCTCCAAGATTTGTCTCGATGTGGTCCATTTATTTTAATTTGGGACTGTCAGCGGGGGAAAAAAAAGAAGTAATTAAACTTGTGACGAGCATGGAAAAACATTTTAAGCCCTGAGGCTGCAGTGTGATCTCCCCCAGCTTCACTCTATTTCTTCTACTTGTCAGATCAAAGTCCCAACCCTTAAAACTCAGCCATGCTTTGATTAATTACCTCATACAATGAATTTTGCAAATTATAGTTCTATGTGATTTATTTCATTTTTAGCTTCAATTGGAGCTTTTCTTTTTCTTTTTCTTTTCTTTTTTTCTTTTTGGTTGCCGTGTTCACTGAGTCAGTCAGCCTTCACCTTGGAGAAAGCGGGCTTTAAAAACTACGTCACAGGGTTTTGTATTTAGAGAAAAGTTATATGCTAGTGTTTTCAATGGCATGTTATTGTCTTGATGAGAATATAGAAAACACCCGTCATTACTCGGAGATGGGATTTGAAGACACAGATTCCCTTTCTACCATCTCCAAGTCCCTTGAGCCCGGTCTCACTGTTTCCTTCACCTACTTTCCCACCTGAGTGATTCACGTGGGAGACAGAAAGCATTGCCTTTAGGCTTCTCCCCCTATTTATTCCCCATCTTCAACTTCTTGTCAAGATAAATTACGCTAAATTCATTAAAAATGAGTAAAAGGTTTTCTCCAAAGTTAAAACTGGGGATTGATTTGGATATTGGATGGAGGAATATCTATCAGAAAAATTCCAACAAAGTTTGTGAGTCGTCCTTTTGAATAGGAGATAGGAAACCCTGGCCCCCTGTTCTGCCCGCCCAGTTCCTTCAGGATCTGCACAACCCCCACCTGTCCCTGAGGCCACCTGACACCTGGGTCCTTGTCCCTCTGCCCTGAGACTGACTGTTTGGCCAGGGGACCTCTCCTATCCCCAAACTCCTGGTCTTGGTTTTTGGAGAGGAGGGGGTTTCCTGAAGTTCACTGTGCAGCCATACTGAAGGCTGGTGACCAGGCAAGACTGGAGGAAGGCAAGCAAATGGAAAGGGACCGTCTCTGAGGGGACTGCCGGCTGCTAGCCAAACAGACGGCACTCCTGCGTGGGGCTCATGAAGACCCATGTTTATAAGTGAAGTAAAGCCCAGGTGGTCTTGCATTCATTTCTTTTCTTTTTTTTTTTTTTAAGACTCTCAAATACTATCTTTATTGTTTTTATTTTTATTTATTTTTAATTTTTTATTGTGGGTTGTTCAAAACATTACAAATTTCTTGACATATCATATTCCACACTTTGATTCAAGTGGGTTATGAACTCCCACCTTCACCCCATACACAGATTGCAGAATCACATCAGTTACACATCCATTGATTTACATATTGCCATACTAGTGTCTGTTGTGCTCCGCTGCCTTTGCCATCCTCCACCCTCCCCCCCCACCTCTCCCCTCCCCTCCCCTCCTCTCTCTCTACCCCCTCCACTGTATAACCCTGTTGCATTCATTTCTTTAAGAAAGACCACGCATCATAAATATTAACATTTTTCTTCTTATTCAAAACACTTGTGACAGAATTTTTAACCATATTCCCAAGAGAGAATAATATTGCCAAAAATTTCAGTAAAATATTTTTTCTTTAAAAGATGATGCAAACCATATTATAGCTAACGCAGAAAAGAGAAGGAGCGACCACGCGTCGGACATTCCAAGTCCCTTTGGCATCCGCTCTTTGTTTTTTGGGTGCGTTTTCTTCCAGTCTCTTCTTAAGGACAAACTTTTACATTGTAATCAGAGTTTTAAATATTTGTATTCATTATTATTTCCTATTATGTCACACATTATTTTACTTTCCAGTCTGCATAATCTTTCTTAAAATGAGTACACTATAATTTACTTAAGCATTTCACTATTTGCAGTTATTTGATTTTTTTTTCTCAATTTTATTACTACAAACAATGCCAAAATGAAGAGCTTGGGGGTGTACAAGTTGGTAAGCGTAATTTCTTAGGCTAGATTTTCATAAGTACAATTACCAGGTCAAAGTTCTGTGAGTATATCTCCTGCCAAATTATTTTCCTTTTAAAGAATTGAGTCAATGTATGGTGTGAAGAGTGAAATAATAATAATAATAATAATAATAATAATAATAATAATAAAAACTAATCTGTACTACACTTTGGCTAGCATTTTCCTATTATAACTTTAAAAATTAATTTACTAATTTCTTGGTGAGATTTTTTTCCCCCCACGTCAGCCCTCCTGCTCTTTCCCACTTTGCTGCACGTCTTGAACTCCTCCTTTCATCAAGAGCACTATTGTCAACTCCTCTGACACATCTGATTACTCCTCCTTTGAGTCGGCTTCTCTCGATCTGCCCTCTCCTGTTTTCTGATCCGTGTCTTCATCTCTGTCTTCCGCTGTGGCACCTCAGATGCTGGGATGCTCTGCTCTGCACACTTTCTCACTCTCCTGCCAGAGGAGCCCATCCTTCCCTGTGGCGGTGAATACCATTCACAGGTACAAGACTTACCTCAGCCAGGTCTTTTCTCAGACTCGTGTTTCTCATTACCTATGGTATGTCTCAAACTGGACATCTGAGAGCTGAAATAGCTGAAGCTGAATTCCTAATCTCCCCAGATGTGTTCCTCTCCCTCTTGCCCACCCAGTCATGGCGTCTGCACTCACTAGACGCCCAGTGAGTCCTACCTCACTCCTTCTTCCCCTCCCCTTGTTCATCAAGCCTGCCCCCTGACCTCAGGTCTGTCCACTTCCCTTCATGGTCACTGCTACCTGCACAAGTGGCCACTGCCATTTGTCTGAACTATTGTGGTTTTTAGCTAACTTCTTTTCTGCTCCACATTCTGCTTGTCATTATGCAGAGAGAAGACCGTTTTAATTACAAAATTAGACTGTCTCTCTCCCCTGCTTATAATTCTTCAAAAGTTTTCCATTGTGTTTGTAATAAGACCCGAGTTCCTTGATCTGACTTGTACGACCAGACTTGGTTTTCCACTGCCCACGTCAATGACCTTCTCTATTGCCTCTCTCCCCTCTGCTAACCAGCCATCGTGATCTTCTAGCCTTTCCCCAGAGTGCCAAGCACTGTCCTCCTTTGGGGATCAAGAGGTACTTGGACCATGCATCCCCTGTGCTCTACCTGGATCTCTACTTCTCGTCAGTCAGATCTTGCTTTAACACCACCTGTCAGAGAGAAATTTCTGCACCTCATCAAAAACATGTCCCCATCCTTCTGATTTCTACAAGAGCCTTTGTTTCCTTGACAACCTTCATTGCTGTTTGAAACCATAGCTCATCACTTTGCTTTCTCATTGTCTCCACTCTGGACAGGGAGCTTCATGGGATGAGGTCCTGTCTGTGGTATTTGGTGTCCCAATGCTGACACAGTCCCTAGTGTAGGGTGCACAGTTACTGAATGAGTGCACACCAAAAATATTTTACTTTATCTTTTGGACAGCAGGGAACCACTGAAAAATTTCAACTGTTGGTCTGGTGTTTGGGAAAAAGAGTGCTGTCGGGTCATCGGGCAGAAGCCTGGAGAATGGATGACAGGAGTGCATAATTGGAAACCAAGGGAACCACTTAGGTACTTATTGTAATCTTGAGGCTAGAGATGATGAGCATCCAAACTAAGGAGGTAAGACATCGCATATGCTAAGCCCAGTGCTGGTGCCAACTCAGTGGAGTCCATTCAGTTTGGCAGCCAGCAAACTTGCTTTGTAGAAGCTGATTATTGCATTGGCAAGGGCAGAAGATACATTACTTAAGACTGCAGACAGGATGAGAAGCCGGAGGCAGGCAGGTACCGCTTGTGCTTTTGGGTGCTGTGAGGGGATGCAGAGAGGTAGCAAGAAGGCAGAGGTCATCCTACGGGGAGCAATTGGACCACACACTCTGATTCCTTAGTGGGGCACAGATCTAGGACAGAGGCAGAGGCCAGACACAGAGGGAAGAAGGAAACCCCTGGGTGGGCAAGCCCAGTTGGTGCAAAGATGTGGAGTGCAGGTTCCATCCAGCCTTGGGCTTGCTTGGGGGCGGGGTGGGCAATGCTCATTCTTCTTTGAGATTGAAGAAGGTGTGACGGTGGCTGCTGCAGAAGCCGCTGGGCTGTCTGTGATGCCACTGTTGGTGCTCCTGACCTTCCAGCTCAGTGCAGGCCCCCGGAGGAAGGGGTGTGAGTTTGGTTTCTCTAGTATTTTCCCAAGCACAGACCTCAGTTCTGAGCTTGGAGAAGACAGCATGGCAGGTGACCACAGAAGCAGGGATTTAACTCAGCCAGGGGTAGTCACCTGACTCGCTCTAACAGTGGAGCTCAGCTGACTTGTGTGGTTGGATTTTTTACTTGAGAAACCACTTACAAGCCAAATGCACAGCATCTATAACCAGAGAGCCAGCTTCCTTGCCGCCTGTAGGTATTTCCACTACTGTGGTTCTCCGCATTCCACAGCTGGGTGGCATGATGTGAACTTCCCAGTGACCAAACACTCCAAGGCCACCATTCTCAGTAGAGGTTGCCCTCCTGTCTGTGAAGTTACTGAAACACCAAGAGCAACGGCCTATCAGAGGGAATGGCCGCTTTGCCTGGCCTACCTCATGACCATGCTGTGTGGCCAGGGCCTCACATCAGCTGCCCACCAAGACCTTCCCACACGCCTCCTTGTTCCTTCTCAGCCTCTTAGGAAAGGGGTGAAGTGCGGGGGGTGGGGGGGTAGGGAGAGCCTTCGTCGTCTTCACAGTCATCTGTACAAAGGAGTGCAGGTCCCAAAAAAGCAACCCGCCCACGGAAGTGTTCCTGTAAGTGACAAGATCTCCGGGGCAGCACCCTGCTCTCCAGGCTCCTCATTCTGACGACGGTGGGCTGCCTCTTCTTGTGACGATTCCAATGTGGGAAGAAACAAAGAACACAGAGGTTTGGTCTGACTTGTGCGCTGTGCTTCCTTTGCTCTGGCTTCCTGTTGAAGAGGGAGGATTTTGTTCCCACCGTGAGAGTCATTTTATCTAGATCCCATCTACAGAATTGTGTTCAGCGACCTCTGGTTAATCTTGATTGGCTGTTATTACTGGCTGAACAGGCTCAGGCAGGAAATGGCAGCTTCGGGAGGAAAGATTCTTTAAATGATAAGTTTCAGCAAAAAATACGAGTAGATGCATTTTTATTTATATAGTTGTGTGCTTTACACTGTAAATGCATATAGCGTATATATCCATCCTATTTCTTTATGTCTCTTCAGCTCAGAAAAACTCCCTTTTCCTTTTCTTGTTTGTGTTTGGGCTTGACTGGGAGTTGCAGACTTCAAAGTGGGAAAGGAACCCTTGGAGAGTCAACGTGCAGAGGTCCTGCCCTGCTGCAGATCTGCACGCTCACCAAGGTCTTGCCCAGGGCGACATGCTTGCAGAGACCTGGTGCACAGTGGAACCTCCCTATTTACAAGTGTACATTTTCACAGACAAGGGGAGTTAGTAAGCAGTAGAGAACGCAGTGCTAATTCACATATGCTAATTGTTTTACATTTATAACTTGCGTCAATATTCTAAAAGGTGTTTGAAGATGTGATTCAATCTTGTGGATCCTACTTGTGGACTTTTGAACATGCCTGCCTGGGGTTAGTTATCCTTCAGTACCAACATGACCCCAATAAAGACGCAAGAGGCTGATAAGCCCAAAGCTCAGCAGGCAGAGTCTCCAGCCCGGTAAATCCCACCTGTTCGCCTGCACTGTGGGTATGAGATCATTCTATACATTTCAGAACTAGGTGGCACCTCTGGGACACTCAGCAGGATGATACAGTCAGGGCTGCAGTGACTTCTGTAGTAGTCATGCAGTGGGTCTGGGTGCTCACTTCCAAGTTCACTGATTTACAGAGGTCATGAGAAAAAAGTTCACCTTGGGATGGCTATCCTCATGTTGTGCTTATTTCCTCCCAATCTTTTAATCGTGGTTTGACAGAGCTGGAGCACAGTGTGTGGTTTTACCATTGCTCATGGTGTATTTCTTCTTCCCACTCATGAGGACGGCTGGGGATGTCTGCCCAGCATGATACCCACTGGGCAGGGTACGGAGAACCATCGGTCTGCTCTCCTGGTGTTCGGCATTAATAATGCTTAATGCCAAGAATTTCTCTATTCCAGACATGCTTGTGCCTTAGTTTTTGAACCCATCTCTATTTCCTTAAGATAGATTTTGAGAAGTAGAATCAATTTTAGTACATATTCATTAAAAAGGTATAAGAGAAATATAACAAATTATAGACCTAATTCACTTCTTTTACTTAAGTAAGTTAACCCAGGGCATTTCATCATTATAAAAAAAAAATTAGAAAAAACCTTTTTGTTAACTTGATAAGAACTACATACTGTGCAGTCCTTTGAAACAGTTTCTGTTTACAGGTGTAATTATTTGTCATTATCCATCTGAAAATTTCCATGAATGGTTTACTGATGCCTGTTATTCTTTTATTTTTTAATTAAAGTGATGGCGTGTATTTCCCTTGACCTGTCTCAGTTATTTGCATGCTTGGCTACACAGAAGAGTCACCCGGGTGATTTTAACAAGCCTGCTGATAACAGACCCTCCCCACTGTGACTCGGCTTTGATTGCTCTGGGTTGGGGTGCCCACACCGGCACTGTTCAGCTCCTCAGGTGACTCTGGTAAGTAGTCAGAGGTGAAGACCACAGAACCAGACTCTGCACATACTAACCTGCTATCTTGTTAGAGTTTCCTGTTTACTTTTTATAAACTTTACAGATACTTGCATTTCTTTACAGTCTACACATGGATGCCGTGGAGTTTAAGGCATGCACTCAGAAGCCAACTGCTTGGGCTAATCCTCCTTGTCCTTCAAAAATATGTCATCCTGAGCAGTTGTGCACTCGCCCACTGCCACGATTTCCTCTGCAGTCCCGTGGGATTCCATCAGAGACTCGCCTGGTGTCTTCGTTAGAGGGGGGTTGTGTTGGTTGTTTTGTGTAAATTATTTATAATGTCTGGTAAGTATGGACAATTCCTTTTCTTTTACCATTTTTTTCCCATTGGTTTTAATCTAAGTCTTTTTCTTCCCCTAAGATCAGGTCAACGTGGACGCATATTCTCTTAAATTTTAGTGTTCTATTTCTCATTGCTGCGTACGTCTGTATTTCACTCAGGCTTGGAATGAAGTTGATGTAGAAGGAAAAACAAATCCATCAGAAATGTGAGGGGCCTTTCCCCTAACTCCTAGTTCCACCTAAACCACTTATTTCTGATTTCCGAATACACGTAAAGTTTTTTTTTTCTGATATTGTCTCCTGGCTTTCAACATCAATGGTTCTGGTAGGTGCCTCACTGCATTTTGAAGCAAGTCCTCTGCTTCATTTTGCTTCATCAACTTGTGCTTGTCTGCACATCTGCACACATTTCTTTCTTTCTTTAGTACTGGGGATATAACTCAAGGGTGCTTAACCACTGAGCCGCATCCCCAGCTCCTTTTTATTTTGTGACAGGGTCTCACTGAGTTGCTTAGGACCTCCCTGAGTTGCTGGCCTCAAATTGGTGACCCTCCTACATCAGCCTCCTGAGTGTCTGAGATCATAGGCGTGAGCCACCACTCCTGGCTGATATGGGATTTTTGAAATGAGCTTCCATACCAGTCTGAGAAAGCCCATCTTGGTAGAAATTGCTTCCTCCCTGATTACCACCTCCTGTCAGACGTTCCCTCCTTTCTCCGATTCTCACATATGTTGGATGTCAACCTCATTGTCTAAGTTCATGAATTCTATTCAAGATAAATGAAAGGAATTGGACAGTAGCAAACACAACAGAAAAAATTCATGAAATCCATCTTCAGGGAAGAGTATGGACATCTTCCTGGCCTCTGTCAATTTCCATCATCTCTTCAGGAGCAGCCTGTCGTGCACAACTTGCTTTCAGGAATGACAGCATCAGCAAACACGGGACGGGGGTGGGGTGGTTAATGCTGGTGGCTGTCAGGACGCCAGATATTGGAGGGTTGGGTTGTCTGAGTCACCCTTAGTTTTGTGCTCCCTCATTTTAATCCCGAAATGCTCTAAAGGCCAATAAATAAATAGTTATTCAGATACACGGCAATCCTAAAATACCAGGAGGCTTGACCCAATTTAGAAAGCTGTGGGTATCTCCATTCTTTACATAGTGTTGATTGTCTCCAGACGTCTCAATGGAGGACGTATTTTTTGCTGCAAATCTCTGTAATATATCCGCAGGGCACAGTTGTCATTTTTAGGCATGGGATTGTTCAAGTCATAAATGCTCATATTTGCAAAGGCACAGGGAGATGGGGCACTAGAATGGAAGTCCACTGCCAAATGAAGCTCCTGGAATAGAGCACTGTCTGTTGGATGAAAGAGAAGTCATTTGCCGTGTTCGGCAACAGTAAATGCATGAAACGGGTCACTGAATCCTGAGACAGTGCTTTAGTAAGTATAATATCCAATCTATGTGAAAAGGCTGGACTGCACCGTTTTCTAGGTGGAGTCAGACGTCTCCCGGCCATGACAGAGCTACCGTGGGTTGCGTTACTCCTTGCAGGACACTGGGGTAGCCTTTGGTGCAATGAGGTGGTGTTGACTGAATTTCTGTTTGTGCAGCTTCTTTCAGTCTTTAACCTGCTCCCAGGATCACCCGAGCCTCAGGAAAACCTAGCTCTCTGGCTTCTCTTGCTCATGGGGATGGGACAGTGATGGGGGTGGGGTGGGAATAGAACAATTATTTGTCACTGACTCCAGTGCTGCAGGAAGCTGCCTGGTCCTGCAGGTCACGTTTCTCTTGTTTACTGGCCGTAGACCTTTCTGTTGCGTACTTCTTTTGTTTTCTCTGAGTGTAATCTCTGTTGCACATGGAGCTCAGACAATGTAGATGACCCTGTCTTCAATGCACAGAGTTCTCTGTCAAGATATTGTTGTCCCTCACTGGGCCCAAGTCCCATTTTAGTGCAAGGGAGAAAAAAAAAAAAGAAACAATAGAGACAAATTTAGACACTGATGGGAAAAGAAATGCTGCTCACTGTCCACCCCAGCCTTTGAAGCTACGCCCACGAGGCCGCTTCCTTTAACCTTCCCAGGGATTCCCAGCGACCCAGAACAGCCTGCCCAAGCCAAGGCAGACGACATGATTAACATGTGCTCACCCTTCTGTGGTAAGTTCATGTCCCAGGCATCCCTTCCCATAAAAAAACAAAACAAAACAACAAACCTTCACGTATTCCAACAGAAGCGAAATTCATCTCTCCGTTAGGCTCTAGAATAGATCCTTATCAACTTTTATTTTCCCAGCCATTACTGGCCAGAAGTAAACTCAAGATGTCAGGCCTTTCTGGGCTCTCTAGCCTGTGTCCTCTGACTGTGCCCGGGGTCATTGCCAGGTCTGTGCTCCCCAGCCTGCTCCCATGCTGAGCCGACAGCGCCGTCCCATGTGACGACTGTGTGCTCCCTGCTCTCCCTGACTCTAGACAATGTAAATTGACCCAGTGATGTGCAGAGACATTTATCAGCGTGTAAGATGGATGACCAATTTTGAAAGTATCCAAACTGGGGGCTATTTTTGGTGGGATGTGTGTGTCTACTGCAGTGGCCTAGATAATAAGTGCAATAAGCAATAAGAGTGCAATCTCTTCTTGGACTGTCTTGTTAATGAACTGTGAAACCAGATAGATGCAGTCATAAATACATAATACTATTTCACATGGGAATAAGGCTGGGTTTGAAATCATCCATCTTCTTACTGGGAGGTCTCATTTTGGTAGGACATCACTTAGTATCTTTTATTTTTTAAGGTCTTTAAAGATTATATATATATTTAGTGGGAATTATGATTGATATGTGCATAGTATTTGCACAAATATCATGTATCCAACTTTTAAGCCCATTAAAAATCTCATAGAGAAGGTTCTATATATGTATATCAGACACAGTTATTTGCACATGTATATGGACCAATATACTCTATTTTACCTAATTTAAGCGGGTGTAGCTTCTTGACAAGTTTTCGATGCCTGCAGGTTTCTCACTACTATTATTGCTGGTGGGGTAATTTCCCTTCAGGATTTTTCTCCGCACTCTCCACTTCTTCCACATAGGAGAAAGAGAATAGCTGGGGGCAGGGAGGAGAAAAGTCAGTAGCAATCAGAGGCATACCATTGAATGAAGAAATTGTGAGACCAGTTCTACTAAAAACGAAATCCCATGTTTGCATGCTTCTTCTTGATCCTGAAGAAAAATACAGCTGACTGATTGTAAATACTAGACATTGTTAGACACAGTCACTATGTCTAAAATGGCTTAACAGAAAAAAAACTAAGGGAGGCTTAGGAACATGACAGTACCCCTGGGTTTGCATGGATCTTTTATAATTTTCCTAAAATACAACCACTTTCTGGTTTCTCAGAAAACATGATCCCACCAAATCCTAGACATCTTTTACAGCAGAATTGAGTGCATGTCATTTGACAGGCATTCCAAACTCTGTATAAGGAGCACTCAAAATTTTTAACCACTGAATTTCTTCCCTGCTCCCGCTTTTAGCTTTTGTGCAGCATTTATTTGGTTCTTGTCCAACATCATCTTGCCAGGACAGACCATAGCTATGTGCTCAGCCAGTGCCTGTCTTCTAGAACATTCCAGCTCTGCTCTACCTCTTCACACCACATGCCTCTTTTCATTTCCAAGCTTGGTAGGCTGCATCTTTTCCCCATCCTTCACCTTGCTGATTTTCCTCTCTCTGGGTTGTTATCAATCCTTTTATTATAACTGCACTATTTACTGACAAATTTTTGCAAAGTAGAAATGAAGTCTTTGTGTTACTTCAAAGGAGAGACAGCAAAGCTGTGCAGCTAGTTTGGGAGAGTCGACTTAGGGTTCAAAGGAGTCAGGAACTTGTGCTGGATTTACACTGCCTAACACAGCAGCTAAAGGCGCTATAAAGGTAGTGATGAATCCGCTTTAAACTTTTTATTGCATGCTCCTTTTATAAGTTACCTGTCCCTCCCTTATGACAGCATGTATACAATCTGGGGCAAAAGCTTGTTTTTTGTGTCTTAAGTTCTCTTCTCAATCATGGGCTCCGTAGTCATGGGAGAGACAGAGCAATGTGAAAGAAGGGAGAGGGAGTTGAGAACAGGGCTTTTCAGTGGCTGGTGTTGGTGACTGTGGCCGGGATGCTCCCTTCTGTGGGGCTCTCCTGTGCAGCACCTGTGGCCTCTACCCTCTATGGGCCACTGAAATTCACATCCCCCACCCCATGATAATCAACATGGGCTCCAGATGTGGCTAAGCATCCCCTGGATAGCAGAACCTGCCCCCAATATGAGAACCACTGGGCAATGACTGCCTTCTGGAGCTTGTTCTGTCAGAGCATGAGTCCCCTGGTCCTCATCCTGGACCCATCTTCCCGACCCCTTTGCTGGCTTCATTTCCTGATAGTCATGCTCAAGCATCACCTCTGTGGACAGAGCTTCCCTGACCACATTTTCCCGGGTAGTGCACCATATCCCAGGGCTTCCACCATCTCCTCCTTCCTCTCCTGCTCACTTTATTTCATAGCGTTTATCCCCACCTGAACTTGCATTCCCACTGGCTAGTTTGTTCTTGACCTCATTCTCTAGAACTCAGAGTCCTTGGGGGCGGAAGCTGTAACTTATTCACGACTGTACTGTGCACAGTAGCCAGCATGCAGGAGGTGGTCTGGGAGCCACTGGTTGGATGAGTGAGTGAGTGCTGAGCACCCTGCTGCAGGCAGCCCCAGAATCTGGAACTTCCTGCTGGAGAGAAGTACATGCGGGAATGTGCTTGTGTCCAAGGCTGGAGTGCCCACAGATCTTTCACTTTCTATTCATGTCTAACCACGTGATACTACAGATTCTTCCCACCGTGAAGATTTATCAAAAATAATAGGCTCTCACATTCAAGTTGACTAGGTCTTTGGTAGTTAGTGTTTCTTCCCATGGAAAAGAACACTGTGAGACTATTGTTTTTCCCTTTTCCTTTGCTAAATCGTTATCAGGGTGCTTAAGGAAGTGATGCTGGTGATTCAACCAACGATCCCCTCGCTTGGCCACCCTCAGTTCGCTAATAAAAAATATTTATATATACATACACACATGTGTAACCAGAAGGTACAATCTGATTCCTTTTCTCCTTTTGTTCTTACTAACACAGTTTCTCCCTGGAGGAAATTACCTGTGGGAGTTGCTGCAGAACGTGCTAGAACTCTCCCCACTGGTGGCATCACCAGGAATGTCCTTCTTGTAAATAGAGGGACGCTGGTTTTGCCAACATCCTTGTCCTCTGTGTGGAGCCCAGGACACATACTTTTATGATCTCAAAATGTGCAGTTTCTGGAGGGTATGAAATGGCTCACAAGCAGGTCTGCTTTGGGTTGTTTTCTTCAAGCATCTACATGCGATCCATGTACCGCACTTAACTGTTGACGACAGGTGGCTCTGTGGTTGGGGCAGGGTAAGGCCAAGTAAGCTGAGCTCACAGACAGCCTTTGCCATCTACTAACTCTTTTAACTTGGTGAAGACACTAAGTCCCTTGGCCTCAGTTTCCTCATGTGTGAAATGAAATTGCTGGATATTAAACGGGACTATACTCATGAAGTCCTGACACAGTGCCTGGCGCACAGAAAATTCTCAAAATGGTGACCTTTCCTATTGTTGAAATGCAGTTTAATCCCACCTCTGGGATAAAGGAATTCTGTAAATGCTGGCTAAGAATATTTTCTGATTTGATGGAACTCAATTCTGATCTCTAGGTAGGGAATGGAAGGAATAATAAGAAGTTCTTAAATCTTACATTTTATATAATACTCACTATCCTCCTTTATGTAAATAATATTTTCACTTTATGGAAAGTTTGAAAAATTTTAAAAAATATAGCAGAAATAATAAATTAATTGTACATCTTCAACAATTATGTGTATTTCTTTCTCTATGTGTTTAGACAAATAAATAAACTAATTTTTAATTTTTCCCATTATTAATTAGTTAGTAGCTATTTGATAATACATATGCACATATTCTCTCTCTCTCACACACACAAAAGGACCCAAAGTAAATCACTT